CTGCTACTGCTACTACTACTGATGCTACTACTACTACTACTACTACTACTACTACTGCTACTACTACTACTACTACTACTACTACTACTGCGTTACTGCTACTGCTACCCCTACTGATACTGCTACTGCTCATGATTATAATGTCCAGGGTATAGGCTTCAGGTGGCTCATCGCCTCGGGTTGGGGTTTTCAAGCTCGGTGTGATTTTGGTTAAGCGGTGAGGATGAGGGGGTGTTTGAAGGGACAGCGGAGGCAGGCGCTGGACTCGGGTTTACATGTACGAAACCCACACGCTGAGCTCCGAGTCAGATTGTCCGACAACCCACGGAGCCAGGCCCGGGCGTGCCTGGATACGCCTGGCTGCAGGGCACAGCTGAAATGCAGTGTTTACCACCTGTCATGTCTGAAGGTCTACTGCAGCCGTGTGAACGCCTGGCGATCTCGAGTTCACAAGGCTTAGGCTTAGATGGAATAAACGGATGCACCGCTACCATGAATGCGGCTACACGGGAAGAGGAAGGGTCTCATTGCTGGGACTCCGTGTCGATGCCCATGGCCGGTCATGATTTTCGGCGTCATGCAAGTCCAACCGACCCCGAAACCGCTGCATCTTGCAGGCACTCAGTGCCAACAAGAGACAGGTGGGTGCGTCGCATATCACTGCGCACAACATGGTCGACATTCACCCTCAATCAAGACGTCGTCCACAAGCTCCTGACCTCCGATTTGAAACGCCCCCTGGCCAAAGGCTCCTTCGAGCCAAGTATTAAATCACTGTAAAGAGTGCTCTATCTCAGCTTCCCACGAATGTCACCCAGGGACTCTGCCCTAGGGCGGCGTAAAATTCATGAGTGCATGACCGAGGATCTCAGAAAGGGGCGTTAACCATGGCCTCTGCTCACCCAGCCACATAGTAGGAGTACTCATGAATACTAATCAGCTCCGGCGTCACATGGATTCGAGCTTTGGCAGATGCCACAGAGCAGATATCTTTCCAGTCCTCACAGCTTTTGAAGATTAAGGGTAAAAACCAGGACCGGTTTCAAAAGCAATCTAGCCTCCTCAACCCACGCAATAATAAACAAGATGCTCCTGAACTGAACATCCAAGAGTCATACTCGGCGCTTTTTTCACAGACGAACATGTCGGCACCCTTGTCTGCAGGTTCTGCGGTCGCCCCGTTAACATCCCAGCGCTTCCCGCCACGGAACTCGCTGTCGAAGAGTGCCCCAATGATGAACCGAGCCAAGTTGGACGGGGCCAACTTACCGTCAGCATACTCAACAAGGGCTTGATGCATTCCTTTGAGCTGCAAGAGGTTAAAAGCCTCCAGCTGCTTTTTGTCGTCGTACCTGGAGCTCCGCACCGCTCTTGGCAACACCCTTCTGCCTTCCAACTGGTCTGCAGGACCACCTCGTGCAAGAATGGGGCCACTGCGAGGCCTGGTTGAGCTCAGGTTTGTTTTGTTAGTAGGTGCCGCTGTGCAGATTGACGTAGATGCCTGGTCGGCGGATCTGGTTCCCGCCTGCAAAGGACGCGAGCCGCTGGTGGGCCTGGTTGAGCTCGGGCTCGTCTTGCCAGTGGGCGCTGGTGCGCCGAGAAGCCTCGTTGATGCCTTACCAGGCTTACCAGGCCCAGTCGCCACTTGTGGACGACTGGGACCACTGGCCCTAAGCCTGGCTGGGCTCTGCTCTTCAGCCGCGCTGGCCGGGGCCTGGCTGGCGGCCTCCATGAGGGGGTTTCTGAAATAGGATGCTTATTATAAGGACCCCAAAATAAGGTACCCCTAATTCTCGGAAACTCCCATAAGGACGAAACCACTGGCTATGGCTTGAGCCAACCTCTGGCCTCCGAAAGGCGATCGTGATCGGAGGGAACAAGGGCCCTGCTTGAGCTGTTCAGGTTGCTCGTAGTTTCCTGGTCTCGTCTACTAGCCGCTACCAGCTATCTGACCTGGCTCGGGAAGAAGCTCCTTCTGTGAAGAAAGAGGCTCCGAAACCAGCTTTCCAATTCGATGACTCCTCCTAACTAGGAAGCATGCCTTCTGACTCTCAGCCCAAGCCACTCAGAACTTGTGAGAACTGAACCATCGAGCTTGGAAGCACCAAGCCACAAACCCTAAATCCAACCCTACAGTACAACCTGAGGATACGCCGATTGAACCAAAGCTTGTTTCAGCAAAGCCTGGGATCACGTTTAGTGGCCTTACATGTAGGGATTTGGAATCGGATATAGCATACTTATGTAGAGTTCTGGTGTATGTTATGGTACACCGGAAAAATCGTGTAGGGTCTGGCAGGGGATGCTATGCAATCGCTGTGCTCATCTCTTCAGGTGCTCGGACATAAAGGTTTGCCCGGAACTGGCCTCATCTCAGCGCCCACCCTGGCCGAGGTCTGTTCTCCCATGCTTCCGGGCTTCAGCCCCTTCTGGATAGATATGGGGGTTTCCGAAAATAGGGGACCCTAATATAGTACCCCAAATAATAGGATCCTTATTATAAGGACCCCAAAATAAGGTACCCCTAATTTTCGGAAACTCCCATATGTGAGTGCAACCTGAATCCTTCAAACTCGGGACACACTGGATTTGGAAAGTCGAACTGGCTGGCACAAGGTCTCCATTGGGCGTGCATGTGAGAGGCCCATAAACTCAAGTGTTCATCTATGACTATGATAGTAGTGCGTAAGCTAAGCGCATGGGCTCCGAAGCCCTGCATATGCAACGAGCACAGAGGGAGAGAGAGAGAGAGGAGCAGCGAGAGCGAGAGGGAGAGGGACAGGGAGACGGACGGGGAGAGAGGAAGACGGAGAGGGAGAGGGACAGCGAGACCGACAGACCGACCGACCGACCGGCACAAACAAACCAACAAACAAAGAGAAGAGAGAGAGAGAGAGATGCAGGGACAGAATGAAAAACAAAAGCACGCAATCACGCAGCCTGGCAAGAAGCGTGTTATTAATTCAAGGTACAGCACGACATGTAGCGTAGACGGCGTAATATGAACACAGCGACACGGGTGTTGGAAGATAGCAATGCCGCGCCTCCTGCCGGGCATGGGGGAACAGGCAGCAAAAGCAATTCCGGACTCGAACCCCGATATCAACTCTGAAGGCCCTCTGAGTCGAACTGACCATGGAACATGCCGTATCCCACGTGCAATCCTGGTCTAAATTGCACCCGGGGGATCTGCCCATGTTGAGGCAGCTCTGAGCCGATATAGGAAAAATCGAGTGCTCCAGCCGTGAACGGTTTAGGACGAGGGATACTTACCAATCCGGGATCAGGGCGCTGAAGAACAAGGACCTCGCTCCAAGGGTTGATGCAGCAGAGAGGCCAGGCCTTAATAATTACAGTAGCACAGGGTTTAGGGGGTGTATGATACCACAGTTATAATCAGGAACCACCAAAATAGTATTGGGAATTATCCAGGCCCCTATATTGAATGATTGCCCGACGATGGCGCCATGTCGGTCATTGATCTTCTCAGGGTGAGAAACCTGATGGTTAACATCTCCGGCAGACTGAATCCAGAACTGGCTGAACATGGCCTTCCGAAACAGGGCCTCAACACTTCTGAACGGGATGTTGTACCGTAAATACGTCTTTGTAACTTCCATTCAATCAGGTCCGTATATCCGTGCCTTATCCGCCTGTTGCCAGCCCTGCACCGCCTTACAATCTTCAGCAGGATGACTGTAAACAAACCCCCAGCTTGCGCTGGGTCCACCAACAAGAATATGCACTTGATATTTTCTTCTACCACATCTGGCTGGCCAATGCCTATCTATCTTTCTCTCTCGCCCTGTCTTCGACAGTCAGTCCGTCTGCCTCCCATTCTCTGTCGTGTAAGGAAGCAATACACATATATCCTAAACCCTACTCTAAGACCTTTCAAAGTATCCCGACACACGGCCCTCCAGCCACCATAGCCAACGCCTTGTACCGCAGATAGCCCGAAAAAAGACTAGTAGTAGAAATTGTTCGCTAGATTGACACTCTGGTGGTACTTTACAAATTCCCTGCTCATGAGAATTGTGTCTTCGGCGCTCGAGCCCCTCACTCAGCCCAAAACGGAACTGCAAACTCTAACCTCTAGACCCATCCGAAGATCCCGAGTGCGAAGCCTTTTTGGCGCCAACTTGCCGAGTGCATGTCATTGCGAGCCGCTCTTCCCTGGTCTCTGTGGAGCCCTGGTAATGCCATACTTGCAGTGGTGCAGCA